GGAATTAACTGATCCGAGTCTAAAGACTAACAAACTTCACCAATTGATAGGTGAAGGGCATTTTGGGGTGCACTGTAATCGTAGGAATAGCTGTAGGATTGTAGGGAGATCCCATCAACGCACATTCCTGACTGATCATGTTCCTGTGCGGAAAGTCATCTCGACGAGTGGGGAGGCAGTGCAGGAGGGGGTGTAGTGCCTCTCATGTCTATAGTTTTTTAGCTCCAATCTTGTACACAGTGTACAGTACAATTCATTTGCTTGTTTTGTGAAGTGGTCTGACCCAAAAACTCGGTCATCGTTTCACATGGACGGCAAGAAAGTCGAAGAAACCTTTTTGGTGTAGGCGGATGAGGTGGTCTGATCCAAAACTCGGTCACGGTTCCACTGAAGAGAAACTACTGTTTTTTGCCTTCTGGGCAGCAAATCTACGTATCCCTAAACCAGAAGGCCAGGAGCTACACTTTGTTCCACATACAGTGCATGGGTATTACCGAGGTACCTCTTTTAAGGGGCACCTTCATTTGTTTTAGTGCCTGTGCCTCCTTTTTTTTTTTTTTTTTTGGAAAACAAAGCTCCGATGTAGTGCCTGTCTTATGTCCAGGGGAAGTGGTAGTTCTCTCCTGGGAGGAAACATGCACAAATCTGCTATGACAGGGCTATCTGAAGAAGACCCCTTTGTTATGGGTCAGTCTGGTGGCAATGGAGTCAGTTGGAGGGGGGGACGCGGCGGGGGGGCCCTGAGGTCACAATAATGGCGGTTTGGTGACCGTTGACCGGGAAATGACGGTGTAAGTTTGCCTCACTTTTCTTTTGAAGACGTCATTATTATGCTTACGTGTACAGAGAGAGGGATTTCAGTCTGGAAGGAGGCTACACAGTTGGTATTTTTCACCCATCCTTCATTTTATGAGGTTTTCCTCCTGTTGACTTCCTGGCTAAGTTATGAAACCCGTATGGCCAGTCCCATCTCAGCTTCACAGGTGGACGCCCACTGGTCGGGGTTATGACACCCGTCTGGCCACTCCCATCTCAGCTTGACGGGTGGGGCCCCACTTGTCCGGCTTATGAAACCCGTCTGGTCAGTCCTATCTCAGCTAGACAGGTGGGCCCCTACTTGTCCAGGTTTTCCGCACAGGTGCAAAGGACGACCTTGCCTATTTCTGGGCCTGGCCTGGGCATTGTTGGATTGTCCACATGGAGAGGAAGAAGAACATGAGGTCTTTTCTTTTTTTTCTTTTTTTTTTCTGAACATCAACGACGGATTGTGGGGAGGGTGCTGATAAGAGCAGACACCCCCTCCACCGTTCCCGCTCTTAGATGGCTCCATTTCATTGGTGGGGAGCTGCACTTGCTGGAAAACGGGTCCAGCGTCCCTTAGCATCATTACAAAGAGCCAGAGTTACATGTTATGCATGCAGTTCTGTCAATTTCTATGTGATGAGCAGCATTGATTGCCCTCTTGCTAGGGGATTGACTGCCCATTGACCTCAGTGAAACGGTATTCACCTGCTAGCAGTACCAAATGCAGATCCCAGGGCTCGATCCCTAGACTTTACCTTACCTGTGTACATTACTTGCGTCGACCCCGAGAGTTGAACCCGTGGCCTGTGTATTTGTAACAGTTGGTAGACTGTCGTAGGTCCGTAGGTGGTAGGGGTTCGATCTGTAGACCTATTGGATAGAGGTCTTAGTGAGGCCTAGAGGTCGTAGCGGTAGGTGTCCTGAGAAGTCAAGGTCGTAGCTGCTACAGTCCTGAAAGGTCAAGGTCGTAGCTGCTACAGTGTTCGAAAGGCCAAGTCTACGCCTTCCGGAAGGTCCTAGTGGTGGCCTTTCAAAGTATTGCTCACGTTTAGACAGAGGCAAGTGGGCAAGTGGTGAGCCCAACTGCGGTACGTCGGCAGTGCGACTGCATTGAGTTGACAGTGCAAACCAATGCAGTCCTCGGTACCGGTCCCAGTCAGTCACAGCCCAGTCAAGCAAGTACCGTGTGGGACTGTGTGCACCAGGGGCATGGGAAAGGGGCAGACCAACGAGCTACAGAAGTATAAATCAAGAGGCAGCGCCCAACCATTCATTCATTCCTGCTGTAAGCCATGCGGAAGCGCTGCCACAGTGACTTGTGCGAGGTGGTCTGCAGTGAGCCCGAAGACGAAGTGGGCGAGAAGGAGAGCTTAGCCATAGCGATAGGGGTAGTAGCGGTCATAGCCGCCATAGTTGATAGAGGAGTGTAGCATGTGTGTGTGTGTGTGTGTGTGTACAGTGTGACGCGTGTGGGATATCCAGGGTGATCCTGTGTGTGTGAACAGCAGAGTTGGGTTGGCGACGAACAGAGAGATGCACAGGCGCTGTTGCGCCGTAGCTGTTTGAAGTGAGCTTGTATCTGAACTGCGTTCTTGGTTACCATATCTCTCCGTTCTGAGTGGGCGCTTGTCGCCAGTTTGCTGCGCTACCTGTTTACATGCATGTGAGTTGTGAAAAGAAGCGAGTCTGACTGCGTTGGTATCGGAGCTGGTACCCGCTATTCCACGCGCCATCGTTGTCTGCTGCAGAGAGAGTCGTGCGCCATAGCCGAAGGCGCCATCAGAGAGGAAGTCCGCCATAGCGGATCCGCAGGGTGAAGAAGCCGCCGTACCTGCAAGGAAGACAACGACGAAGAAGAGAGAGAGAGAGAGAGAGAGAGAGAGAGAGAGAGAGAGAGAGAGAGAGAGAGAGAGAGAGAGAGNAGAGAGAGAGAGAGAGAGAGAGAGAGAGAGAGAGAGAGAGAGAGAGAGAGAGAGAGAGAGAGAGAGAGAGAGAGATGAGCGATACAAGATTGGTTGTCACGTACCTGTGAAGACCGTTGTGCAGTCCAACGAGGAAGAAGAAGGCGGACATAGCCGCGGAGCTCCATCACAGAATAACGAAGGAGGTGTAAGAGAGGACTGAGGGAGAGACCGAGGAGAGAAGTGAAGCGGAGGAAGAAGCAGGGAGAGACGAGCACGCACACACACAAAAAAAGAGAAAAGAGAAGACAGACGGGGTGAAGAAGAATGTTACACGCCCAGTTGGGCGATGTACATAATAACCAAGGATCCGCAATGTGATAAAAAGGACTGAATGGACAATGCAGTGCAAGTAGAATCTCAACAAGCAATGTGCATTCTGATACATACAAAATGGTGCTGAATAGCGCATGGAAGACTTAGATACAAATCCTGACCTGACCGGGACTGACCTTATTCACGTAGTATAAGATAGCGAAGCAGAATGCTAGAATGCTAATGACTAGCCTAATCAATGTTGAACGCAGACCAAACATACATTGTGTCCATCACAAGGTGTGAAGGAGCCTGGCGCTGTACACAGGAAGGAAGCGCCAGGTCCAGACATACACAGATGAAGAGGAGGGGATCAGACGAAGAAGAGGGGGAGAGATGGGAATGTCGTAAACACCAAGTCTTTGTCACAAGTCCCAAATAATCCCTCGTCGCAATGTCTGAAGCCCAAAAGTCGAGTCTGGATCCAATGTCACCAAGCTCTCTCACTCTCTTTCTCTCCTAGTCTGCTGATGCAGTGAAGTCAGATGATGAGAGGGTGAGAGGGAGATGGTGGACTGAGAAGAGGAAGAAGAAGAACTCTCTCTCTGTCACGAGCCAGGTACTAACCTGTGAAGTTGGCGCTGTGCTGCAGGTACCTCAAAGACGAAGCTGGAGCAACGGCGCTGCAGGTAGGTACTCCTGGCCTCCGCCCAATCTCTCTCTCTCTAGTGCTATCCTAGCTATGGCGCCCAGCGCTGAAGACTACAGCTACCTATTGGCGCCCAGCGCTGAAGACTAATGCTAACGCTACTACTACTCCCTGCAGCGCTCCCTCCAGAGTGCTGCTGCCGAATCCTGAAGACTACTGACTGCCTCCTGCCTTCATGTGAAGTGCCTGGGAAGTACCTAGGAGCGGCCTCCCAACTACCTGCAGCCTCCAGGGCAGGCCAGTCTTATATATTGCTGGTCCGTCCAGGAGGCTGCTCTTGCCAATGCCAAAACGTGCCAGACCCTGGGGTTGAAGCTCAAACAAAGGTTGTCTTGAAAATAGGCCAAAAATGGCCTGAGCTAAAACCCTGGTCTGGYGCCTGAGTTTCAGGGYAGGTCGAACTGATGAGGGCCTGAAAATGGCCCTCAGTTTCAGGCTGAAAATACTCAGGGCCAGAAAGGCCCTGTTTTAACCTGAAACGACACAGGGCCTGTAGGCCCTTGTTTTCAGGCTTTCAGGCTGAAACGACACAGGTCCTGTAGGCCCTTGTTTTCAGGCTTTTAGGCTGAAAACGACACACGGCCTGTAGGCCCTCGTTTTCAGGCTTTCAGGCTGAAAACGACACGGGCCTGAAAATGGCCCGTGCAGCCTGTTGCAGGTGCAGCATGTAACAAGGAGGCGAGGCAGGAAAAGGGAAGGAGAAGGATGGCGACGAAGGGGAAGCCGGCCGCCATAGCCGAGCTGGAGTTGACCGGGCGTTGACCAGAGTTGACCGGGCGTTGACTTGGAGTTGATCGGGAGGTGATTGGGGGTTGACTGCAGTGTTGACCAAGCATTGACCAAGGCGTTGACCAAGATTTTGACCAAGCTGGCGCCGGTATAATCTTGCCAAGCCTTCAGCCTGTCCCCTCGCCCTATGGATGTGCACACACCCTGTGGTACTTGCTGAGTCAAGTCTGTTTGTCTCTTCTTTCTGCATTGAGTCTCTTTTGTCGGTGATAGGACTCTGTGGACGACGGATAGGGCCTTGTTGACCAAACCCACACGGGACGAGTAGGGCTGAAGATTGTGTCTGACGACTCGACTGTCCCAAAGGACACGGACCCTCCCAAGGACCGGTACTGACCGGTGGGCTGCTCGGTGTGGCACGGTAGGCCCAAAATCCGAGTTGTGGGCTGCACAACAGGCCGTCTAAGTCTTGAGAGGACCTGCTGATCGCGTTGTCCTGTCTGCGACGTTAAAGAATTCCTGAGGAGTTACGGGGGATCTCCTTAAATGCCTCCTGATCAGCAACAGGTCCTGTAGTGACAACCTTAGTTTAGGTCCAGGCTAGTGACCCTAGTTGACAGGATCCTGTCCGGATTTTGTAGTCCTTAGATTGAGTCAGTAGGTCGTGTCAGTCAGGGGGTAGAGTCTAAGTGGTGAGGAGTGGAACAGTTGTCCGGTTGTGCACCTGGCACCATGGTTGACACACGTAGTGGTAAGAGTACTGCCCCGCAGTCAGAAGCCGAGCAGGCACGAATCGCCGCCATTCTGAGAGAGAGGAAGGAGGAGCTCCTCAAACAGGCGAAGCTGAAGGCGATAGCTGAGGAGCAGGTGGCAAAGAATAAAAAGTTGGAGGAGGAAATGTTAAGATTGCAGCAGGAGGAGGAAGAGAAAAGCAAGGTTGCCGAAGAAGAAGCAGCAGCAGAGGAGGAAGAGGTAGAAGAAGAACCCCTCGAAAGGAGGCATGGGGGAGAAAGAGCAGAAAGCAGCGGCACGAAAGAGGAGGATAAGTGGATGGAGAAGAAGATTAGTGAGTGGGTGGCTAATTTATCATTGGGAGAAGATGAAGAGGTGATGTTATACGTGCCTCAGGAGGAGAAGGAAGTGCTAGCCAGATAGCTGGCAGCTATGGAGGAACTGTTGGACCGCCAGACGTTGGAAGATGAGAAGCGGTTGGAGTGGAAATTGCGGCTGGGAAGGGAGAAGAAGAGGAGGGAGGAGGCCAGCCGAATGGCCAGGGAAGTGGAGAAGATCCAAGCATGCAGGTAGGAGGTGCAAGCACAAGAGGAGACCCCCGCAAAATTAGACAAGATTCTGGGGTATCTTGAGGTCTTGAGTCAGGCTTGGTTTGAACAACATCAGGCCAATAAGGGCCAAGATGTGACCCTTCATGCCATCCGGAGTGGATCTAGAGAGTTTGCGCGCAACGTGGTGACCCACGTCTGGACCGAAGTCAAGAGGTTGAAGGAAGGCGCAGAGAAGTTCTACGCAGGCGCCATTGAAGGCGCCAAGGTAGTGGCCACGACAAAGGCCAAAACGCGCCCCCGCAAAGAGCCCGTCAAGCTCAAATTTCCTGACTCGTATAGCGGTAAAAAGGACGAAAATTTTGATAACTGGGAGGCCAGCATCAACACATATGTGTATCTATAGCATATCGCTCCCGAGGAACGAGTCCTTGTGGCCTTCCATGCACCGAAAGATGACGCAGCTAGCTTTGCCCGGTCCCTTGCGCACGCAGCCAATTGTGAGCACAATATGGTTGCGTATTCTAGGCTCACCCCTCTTCTACGTTGCGAGAGAGGTTCGCTAACGTCACAACAGGCGTCAGGGCTTGCGACAAGCTGCAAACCATCCACTCTAGGCAATGGAAGAGTGCAAGAGCACTCAAAGCAGCGATGGATAACCTGGTAGCCATCCCAGACCACGGGGTCACTAAGACCCTGTTGGTTAACCTATTCTATCGTGCCATGCCAGAGCCCCTGCGAGGGCATTTCTTTGATAAGACCTAACAAGCCAACATCACGTATGATGCGTTAAGTAGGGAAGTGGTCCTGTTTGAGGCAAAGTCCAGGCCAGTTTCCACTTTCTGGCATAAGGACTTAGACAAGGGAAAGAAGTGGAAGGGACATACCATCTCAGGTAAGGTTAGGACCAAGGATCACCTGGTCCTTACTTTAGATGAGGGTGGTATTGATGAAGTCCCCTACAGTCAGATACAGTGGGGGCTAGAGGAGGAGGACAGCGGTATGGGCCAGGGGAGGACCCATGCTGCTATTGCGGCTGGAGGGAGGCCGCAAGGTAGAGGAGGCCAGGGCCAAGGGGGTCGGGCCATGGGTGGTCGAGGTCCAGGTGCACAGGGGGTTGGCGGTCAAAGGAACCGTCAAGTGGGAGGTAGGGGTCAAGGTCTCCCGCTGGATCGCTCAGGACCCAGTCGATCGCCGCAGCGCAGAGGTGGAAGGTCACCTCAAGACAAGGAGGTTGGCACCCAGGTTGGCTACAGGGACGGCCTTGGGAAGACTTGGGCATGGACCAGCGTGTGTGGCAACAGTGTATGGCGCAGGGGCAGTGCATCTATTGTGGTGACCCTGCCCATATTATCAAATATTGTCCAAAGTATAGGGAAGCTCGATTCGCTGCCCAGGGGTCAAAAGGCAGCCGCTAGTAAGGGTCGCAACTGCACTACCACAAGGCCATGTGGGGAAGTGTGCGTGCACCACCAGGAAACTCCCACACCATGTGAGCCTATGGCAGAGGTTGCAGGCCAGTGCCTAGCTAGCTGTCCAGAGACTGCCTGTGTTAGTGTCTCTCTAGGCACTTCCCTCACAGGCGTGGCGGAAGAGTTGAAAGAGAGGATGCCTCCCTGGGCCAAAATGAAGAAGGATAGTAAGGGACAAGTAATCTTAGTTAACGTAGAGGTTTTTAGCATACTTGCAGCGCATCCTGTGCGCGGGGTCGTGGCACATGCGGCGCAGAGCGCACGCGGATGCACGCGCGCCCACGTGATGCGGCGCATCACCAAAAAAAAAATATAAAAAAAAAATCGAAAGGACAGGGTGGGGTGGCCAAACATCCCCCTCGCTTTTAAAAATCAGAAAGCAAGAGGGACAAACTCCGGGGCCATGCCATACCCCAAAATTGTGGGCACATGTCTATACATGTGAGTATTCCTGTTTTAATTGTGTCCAGCCTCTTTTTCAAAGGGCCCCTATAGCTAATTAGCTAGGACCCCACATGTAGCAGAGGTACACTTCAACCTTGCAGTCCGTAAGCGTGGGCCAAGATTATATAGTCTGGATCCGAATTCAGGTATGTGCATCTCGGTTTCAGTAGTTATGGGTTGCTCACTTAGCTCGGCCTTGTTGGTCTCTGCACGTGATTCTCAGGGCTTGGCTGCACTACTCACCAAATGTGCAAAACTAGAATGAATCTTTTGCAGAACATGGAACAATACGCCGCCATATGTTTTGTCTTTTGTGCATGTGGTGAGTTTCTCGTTTTTCTTTTCTTAGGAATACGTGTAGTGCCCTAAGGGCCTCTACTCACCACATGCACAAAAGACAAAACATATGGCGGCGTATTGTTCCATGTTCTGCAGAAGATTCATTCTAGTTTTGCACATTTGGTGAGTAGTGCAGCCAAGCCCTGAGAATCACGTGCAGAGACCAACAAGGCCCGCTAAGTGAGCAACCCATAACTGCTGAAACACAGACCTGAATTTGAATCCTGAGTATATATTCGGCCAGCTCGTGCTCTAGTTCATATTTACGGCCTGCCTCAATGTTGGTGAAGGTTCCGCACTACATTACTGCGAGGACCATTCAGAATGCCTGCTTGGGCCTTTTGAGCCACGTTAGGGGGATTTGTTGCTCTCTCTCTCTCTCTCTCTCTCTCTCTCTCTCTCTCTCTCTCTCTCT